TACCACGATTCAAAATAACTAAGATAAAGTTGTGTTGTTAAATCATTCCATAGAGCTTATTATAAAAAAATGGATACTGATTACAAAGTCACCCTGTATAATTTTGACTGCCCATTTAATGTGGCCGGGACCTATTAGCTCTCACCCTAAAATAGAAACAGTTAATCATATTTTAAAATAAAATTGTTTATAAAGTTTTATTAACACCTAAGGGCTCGTTCCCACGGCAATCAAAAGTGGACTGTCGTGTGTACACCATATTAATTATGTGTGTTTGAAATTCGAATCACAAATACCTACTAAGGCCCAAAACAGACGGTGAAACGCAACTGCAACGAAACTGCAACTGCTAGTTACTTTTGAGTTGCATCTAAGTTTCTGCCATAGCGTCCGTTGAGAGACCACACATGACGCGACCAGTTTGAAACTTTCAGTTTCAGTTTCATTCATCAGAATCATCAGAAAGTTGCAGGTTCGTTGCAGTTGCGTTTCACCGTCTGTTCTGGGCCTAACGGATCGGTTTTTGTGGTGCAATGCAAACGGGATGTTTGTGTAAACGTTAATATTGAAATACGTACCAAGGCATAGTTCTTGCAACTCACGAAGGCGAGTGAGCTTTACATGTGTGGTGGCTCGCTATTGTCCGTTTTTCAAAAATTTTGATAGACATTACGTGCTTATTATTATTGCTTCGTTATGTGCGAAACTCACTCGCTTTCGAGAGTTGCAAGAACTGTAATTATACTATACGGGATCCGGCAAAAAACAGTTCCTGCAAAAACGGGATGTCTCCATGGGAACAAGCCCTAACATCTTGTTTTAGGAGTGGGTCCACTACAATAGTCCTGAGGCCGACGGGCATCGAACTACCGATCCTCGAATCGGCAGTTCAAAACTGACACCGTTCGGCTATTGTAGCTTTTTTCATTTAAGTGGTCTGGAGACGTAGATATCTTCAGTATAGTATTAACTATACACGGTTTTTAGTGGTTGTTTTCCCGCAGTAAAATGATTCTATCTTAGTAGTACAATAGAATAAGGAAGTTTTTTTTTAAATCAAAAAATAGCCTGTACGGAGCGTGTGCGATTCAGTTTACGCTGTAGGTATTAAAATATTATGGTATTACTTAGTGCAGGAGCTTCTTTTACTTTAAATATTCGTTTCTTATGCTTTCGAGTTAATGATTCTTTTTGGTTAGTTGTTAGAACATTTTTTTTTTAAAATAACTCGCCCGATTCAATAGTCCTACTAAAGGTAAATCGTTCTGCCGCGGGAAAACAACCACTAATATTTCACGGTGTATAATTTTTCATATTTAACTAGGATCTACATTATCAGCTGGGAGATGGATCCAATTCTTTCAGCTGAAGCTAGCCAATAATCATGAGTTTTTTAGGTGTCCTAAGTAATTAGGCAACTCTAAAACTAATTTTTACCAGTTTGTTAGGAAAATTCGGCTTCGCTTCAGGGCCAGTTTCTTAATAATTAGTTAACTCTAACATTTGTTCTAATTTTTGATCCGTAGTTAACTCAACTACAAAATTTAACAACTATGCTCGTACTAGTTGTTATACTTTGTTTTGTTGAGGCCTAGGATTATTTCTAGGTCTTTTCACTATTCCGGATATCACGTCTTAGACCACTTTATTATACTAAAATTATACTTAGACATACTTTATCCTATGTCAAGCAGTCGCTTTGCCATCTTGGCAGTGAGCGTCACATCTTGACAATCTACTTTTTGCGACCCAAATAAGACGTATATACGACCTTAATTATACATCATAAAGTACTTAAATACCTTAGAATTAATTTATTTTAAGCAAAGTTTATCATTACCTAAATCAAATAGCTTGATCCATAATTAATTGAAAAGTAGCTTCTGGCAGAATAAGTAGTAGCTGACTGAATGTGATGTAGAAATTAAAAGATAATATTTACTCGTACAGTCAGCGTCAAATTGTTCGTGACACCCAAAATGGCGAAAACGTTGACAACACAACCCTACCTATTACAGTTATTATAACAAAACGCGTCACCAACTTTTTGGCTACTTGGGGTGTCACGAGCTATTTGGCGCTGACTTTACATCTGCTCATTACCAAATTAGTATTTTTGTAATATAGTATTTTTTTTAAACTGATTACACAAAAATGACTTATTCCATTCCTAAATTCAGTGCAGTTAATAATTGCCCTTTGCAAAGATACACAAAATGTTTTTTTCTTAATTGTGCGTAAATTTTATTTAATTATACATTAAGATTTATGGGCTGAGAGCTTATTCTGCGCACATGTAATTATTATTCGTCATCATCATCATTTCAGCAATAGGACATCCACTAATGAACATAATATAATGTAATCATTGTCCTGAGAAAAATGTAAAACCATAATGTTACTGCGTAGAAGTATTAATTTGTTTGTTAAGATTTGTTAAATGGATTATTATGATGCTAGACACAATAATTTTACTGTTCTAGGCTCACCGGTGAGCTGCGTCCAACGTGTTAAATTCAAACCGGTTTTAAAATAAATGTATCACACATTAAAATTTACGTCAAGAAAATAAAAATTATAATATTAGTTTTTTACCACTTATCATTTTGTTATGAACACCATAGTTGTTTTACGTGTGATTTTGCAATACGTATACAAGTACACTAATTATATGACGTATAATTTGATGTGCTAGCGTGACTGTGGTTGAAACAAAATACTATATTACAAAAAATATAATGATGGTGTGGTGTGATGACGTCATGACGCCATGATAAATTGGATCTAAATGAGTTTTATTTTTGCTTTTAGAACTTACTTAACTTGATAATGTTTTTTTTTTTCAAATAATTGTTAACAATAACTTTACTAAATTCATAAATATTGGGGTGTAAGTACCTAACGTACCAATGAAATTGAAAATAATTTCCATACAGCAAATAATTCTCACTTCAGCAAAGAAATGTGTATTTTTTATTTTTTTATTTGTTTTTTTTGGTCTTTTTTTGTTTGTTTTTTTTTTGTTTATTTTTTTTTTGTATTTTTGTTATAGTTTTTCCATTATTTATGGCAAAGCCAATCCTTACTCCTAAGCTAAACTAATCTTCTACTACAGTTATTCTTGAGGGGAGATCGCCATGACTCTTGAAATATATGTACATATCCTTACTTACGTCTAATATATATTTTTTCCTAACATATCTATATATATAAAAATGAAACCCGTTTCGCGTTGTCACGGCATCACGTGTGAACGGCTGAACCGATTTCGATAATTCTTTTTTTTAAATGTTTGTGGAAGTCCAAGGATGGTTCTTACGGAAAAAAATATTAAGAAAATCTCTACGCTAAGGCGGTACGAAGTTCGCCGGGTCAGCTAGTTGTTTATAATTAAANTTTAATTAAATACTTTTTAACTTATGATTTATTTACAGACTACTGTTACGTAACTACGTTCCACTTTCTTGTTTTGTTTTAAATAATTATTTAGTAGTAATTAAGTACTATTTAAGGTATATGTAATACCTAATATATTCTAATGATTGTAAAGTACCTTCGTCCTTGATTTAAATAATACATGCCAATTTATTGCAGACTACATTTAATGGTTTTAAACCCTGATTACTAAACTAGGTTACCTTTTCTTAATTTAGCTTATACGCATGTAACTGCGGATATTCTCTTAATTAAAATAGAACTTACTTATTCTATATGTTTTCCAATATTTTGGTATATACATCTAACAAAATTCACAGCGTCGGCGTCGTTACTTTTAAGAAAATACACATTAAAAATAAATTCGTACACTACACCTAATAAAATTATATTACAATTTTTGACATATTAATATGTATATTAAGATCAAAGCAAGCCCGGACTAAAATGAAATTAATAAAATATTATCTTAAAATCTTTGTTAATATACTCGTAGTAATTAAATATCTTCACTTCTTCTTGTCGTGTCGATAACAAACCTACACAGTGTCAGCCCAAAACTCTGCTACAAGAGTGGCGATGTCAATAGCATTCATATCTTCCTGCGTGCAGTTGTTTGGGAAAACAGGGCACGACATCATGTGCTTCATCGATTGGGGAACACAACCACACCTGCACTCCAAGTTGGAACCATCTGAGAACCGATTGCCCTTACTACGGCCGACCTACGTCCGAACTCTATTTAAGACTTCCAGGTAAGCTAGAGGAGCTCATGTCCAGGTGAAATACTCTCAGAGAAAAGGCAGGGAATATCAGCTCTCTCACGCCATAACCTGCATCTTTCTTTTGACCGACCGTCATCAAAGATCTACTAGCTACTAGCTTGGCATGGGCTGAGCGGCTCCATAAAGAGCTCGCATATTCGCCTGCTGAAAAGGAAAGCGCTAAACCAATGTACCTTCTACTTGATGTTTTGACAGTTTTTCTTAAAAGTCAGAGTGACCTATCCAAAAATACATCCAGATACATAGGAAAATCGGAATGCTCAATAAGCACCTCACGCCATTAGGTGTAGAATTTTCGACCCACCTCTCTATTGCGTAGGTGGAATGCGCTCAATAAACTACATAATATTGAACAAAGATTTTATGCAATATCAATCAATTCATTTAAAGAATTATCCTCATAAATATTAAAATATTTACCTTAGCAACTTCGCTCCATCTTTGTAATATTAATAACTACATATTCTAATCTAACTATATTAATAATTGGAAACTTGCAGCAAAAAAATATTAAAAACCTATTAATAGTCATTAAATATCTAATGTCCTCGTAGTGTGCGCCCATTTAATTTACTTAAGTCAATGAATTAATATTAAAGCGTTAGCAAAAGCGACCTTAGAACATTTACATTAGTTGAGAACTAAATTAATTTTATTTCATTTCAAACCGACTTTTAATTTTCACCTAAAATATTTTTGTTTGATTTTACCTAAATGTTTGTATACCTAAATATTCTTACGTACTCTCTACCTTTTCTAGATAATAGTTCGACCATTTAATTTGTATAATATTTATCAAGAATAGAAGTTAGAAGAAGTGCACCTCCCTAATGGCAAGAGATTATCAAACTTTTCTACGTCTCAGAGCAACAAACTGAGTTCTACACACAACATCCATATTACACCAATTGTACTGATTTCTACTGATATTATTTAATAAAATATTACTGTAAGTTTAATGGCCGAACTATAATATACCTTCAAACGATCCCGCTACGTATTGAAAATTCTTTAGCAAAATATTTCCATCTCCCACGCATTCCATTAATGAGGTTGTAACAAGAATTTTGAGATCAGGACCTTAAGTATAGTAAGGTTTAGTTACTGCCTTTTGCTTTTTGATATTTAAAAATTTGGACATTTTATGTCAATAAATCGAATATTAAATTTTTTCGTAAAACTCTCTAAAACAATATTAACGCATCCCTTACTGTACTTAGGGGTGTTAATTTATAAAATAGACACTAAATGCGTAGTATATTATTAATTATATTATTATTAGTATACAATAACATCAAAACCTTTTTTGGCCGCTATAGGCAGCCGCTCACCCATCAAGTATGGATTTTCCACCTGAAAGAAAATCAGTTGGTTTATGGAATTATTGAAAGTGTGATTTTGATGTGCTGGCCACAAGAAAGTTACAAATAGAAAGAAAGAAAAGGAAATAGATATTTTTATTGATGCAGTCAATTCATAGTTGTACCTACTCAATATTGAAGTTCTTGACTCCCCTTTAGTGAACAGTATTTTTTTTTGTAAAATTTCAAATGTGCTTTTGAAAAAAAATTGAAGTGACTCTAATTTGGACTCATATTCAAGTTATGTTAAAGAGAACAGTTGAAATAGGTATTATGTCAAATTTTATACTCGTATTTAATGAATGACTCCTTCATAAGTGTTGCACTTATCTTCAAGTCAACACAGAGAGCATTTGAAATACTCTACTATAGTTGTCCAATCTTATACTTAATACTCACGTCAGGCTTATACTTCTTGGCAACCAGGTTCTTGTGGTGGTCAGGGAAGCGCATGTCCAGCTCAGAGGGCGACTCTGGGCAGCTGAACATGTGTTCCCCGTCGCACATGCAGCGCTGCGACAGCTGATACTCGCGGCTGAAGGCAGCCGTGTTCTCGAACTCGCTGATGCAGCCTTGGTCTTCTGTTAGGAGAAGATATATGAAGCTGAGAACCCGCTGGATAGACGCTATCACAAAGGCTACTGTACACCATGGTCCAGTGTACTCGCGACGCTTCTAACCATCATGGAAGCACATCGCCAGGAGAGCTATCATCGGAGATGACATCGAACACCCCACCGTGTACCTCGTCAGCGCAACCACGACCACTTTGACAAGAGTGCCCGACTAACAAGAAGATAATTTATCTGGACCTGGACTGACAGGCTTCCAGCTTGTTACTTGCTTGGATTTTTTGGTGGACGAGCGAAAGAAGAAAGAAAAAAAGAGGACAGAATTCAAGAGAAAAAATGAAAAAGAGCCGTTTACAGTACAATCTAGTAAAAATAAAGATGAATTAAGTAGCTAACAAATGAAAATAATATTGAAGTTTTGAAATGTCAAATATCAATAATGGAAAATCGCGAGCATGTGCTCGCGAGCTAAATATGTTCACTTTTATTCGCCTTTGTTTCCGTGCGCATACACATGATTCTCCGTCGTCATGTATTTGCCTCTGGTAAATAAGAGAAGGTCTGCCTCCCGAAGTAAAGTCTAAATGAACTGACGATGACGATGAACTAAAGAACAACTTAAACATTAACTTACCAGTGTAACCAACGGGGCATGGATTGGGGGGGTTGCAGTAGGCCGGCAACACGGCGTCGGTCTTCACCATCTGCCGGTTGGGCACCACTCCTGAAGGGTGAAGACGCTGGTCGCCTTCCCCGGCACCCCCAGTCACGTACTGATGCCCCCATAGTGAGCTAGGAAAGTTTAAACTAATTAGCTATCTTATATTATGTGTTAGGAAGTACATACACAGTTACATAAAACGGTAGACAAAGGATTTCATTGTTTCCAGTTTGCTTCATCTCTAGAACTAACGGACCTATTTCCATAAGTCCATTAAACTCATTATGTGCTGTACTTAAGTCACTAAAACATATAGCTCCATCGTGCTTTGCTGGGTACGTTATTTTATTTGTTCCGTAATTGTCATCCGATTCTTGTATACGAGTAGGTCTGCTGCCCTGTCTTCCTTTTGCCTATTATAACTATAAAGTTGAGACTGATAAAAAGGGCCCACCTGTGCTGCAAATATTCCTGATCGCGCAAGCTTGGGTTTGGGTTGCCGTCGATGAGGGAATCGTAGTCCAACTGCTCGTTCTCCAGCTCCTTATTGGCCCGAGCCATGAGGGCCAGGTGCCTGTCACTAGACGGGAAATCCAGATAACTCGAAGCTGCGTCGTTGAACTCCTTCCCCATACGCTCCACGACCTCACGAAGTAAAGCTTCGGTGAGGATGTGCTCCTATGGAAGGAGGGTAATATGAGCTAACAGTTGTTGAGACGTTCAAGTGNTTCAAGTGAAATCTTCGAATAAGGCGGTGCAAGGTGTGCATGCGTATGTACACTGACTGTACTACAAAAAACGGGACTATTCCCACCTCTCGTTCCCATCGCTGCAACTCCTGTATAGCCAGGATCTACAGCTTGACCGCCAATAAAAACCCAACCAGTGAAGGTCAAGTTTGTACCGGGGGAAAGCTAAACTGTCATTGGACCCGCAACGAAATTAATTAGAAGAACATAGGAGGAGGTCGAAGGTAAGGTTCGACTTTTGTACTACAGTCAGAGCTAATAAGTTCGCAACACTTCTTTGTTACATAAAGCCCGGCTTCCATCAAAACGGAACGGAGCAGAAAAATGTTTTGTATAACCAATCAGATTTCATTATTTCCACTTCTCGTCTCCACTCCGCGCTGCGCGCTGTCAAATTCTGTAGAAAAATTTGACGGCCCGACACTTCACATCTTCTCTCCGCTTTGGTGGAAACTGGGCCTCGGGGTATGTATCTGACTACATAGCTAACTATGTATATAAAATAAAACAAACCTTTCCCCCAATAGAACCATGGGGGATAAAGCCCATGGTTCCGACGATGCTTATCGCCAAGAAGAGCGCTTCGTGCGGGCCCATTTCTAATCTGTGGACAAAGAAATGACTTTATGAAATAACTCAATTTTTCAGTAGCCATACACGTAACTAGGTTTCTTTCATTGTAGGTTATGAACAGTTACACGTTATATTGACGGTTATAAACTGTAATATCATAAAATTTTCTTTTTATATTTTGATCCACGATAGAAAACGAGATTAAATTTTTTAGGGGATCGAATTAGTAACAACGGATTACTTTAAGTAGTAACTACATAAAGAGCCTCTTATCTTGGACTAATAAAGCACAAAAACACAAACAAAGGTCACTAAGTCAAATTGTATTAGTCATCGTAAAACGTTAATATGTAGAGAAATACAGTAGGCGCAGTTATAATTAAAAAAAACTTTATCATAGTTTCTGATTTAAGAATAACATGCTTGACTTGCAATTAAGTAAAGTTAAAATTATTTGAAGTTATGTCTTCAATGTTAATTAATTGAATATTAATCGAGAGTAGAATAGATTTTTTTAGTAAATAGAGGAAAATATACAAAGAATGTACAGACAACTAATTATGTGCCCTTCTGACAGAAAGGGGTGCCTTTTTGTCAGGGCTCAGCAAACATAGAGTCTGATGTCTCGAAACTGAATTTTGAGGGGGGCCTTATCCTAATTAATAAAATTTCCTTATTTCATTAAACTTTTAAAGAATATTTAGGTTTTATAAACACTTCGTTGCTTATTGTATCTCATTTGATTGACAAATCACCACCACGCGCGTGCGCAGTGCTAACTCGTATTTAACTTAGGCTGAGTTGCACCACCTAACTTTGACGGTAACTAGGACGATAACCGGTGCTTTTTGTATGGAATTAGTGAACTATACTAGGAGTCACAGTCAAATATTTATTTATTCGTATGGACTATTAAATACTGCTTACAAACCGTCGATTATTTCTAGAAAAAAAAAACTCTTATGGAGCATTTACGTTTCTCATACTGTTTTTTCCGTACCAGCCTACATTTGGCAAGGTGCTGAGAAGAAGCGCCGCAACAAACTCAGTCACCACTGTCTGCAGTTAATTAGGTTACTGTACTCATTTCAGTTATGGTTAAAGTGATGTGGCCATAGCGACCAGCTAAGCCTTTTTTTGTCGTGGCCCGAAATTTTACTGGTGCGAAATGACGCGAATCAATAATATATTATGACTTATGACTAACATGACATAACATTATTGCCAGATGTTTTGTAAAAAAATATCGGTATTGAGCAAGTGCAAGTTGAAACAAATATTTCGGGTTCAGTATGGTTGATGGTGCTTTATGGTTTCTAATTATTTGTTTGTAAAACATTTGAGCTTTGTGTGTGTGCATCTAAGCATCCTGAAATAAGTTTGCCCATAAAAATGGAATGTTTATTGATTATTTTAAGGCCGCACAGCGTACCTACTGCTCGCTTCAGTGAAAAATTTAAAGAAAATCATATCTTCGACTTTATTATAATAAAAATCTGTTATGAAAATGTCTTTTTCGTTTCGTTTCAGATTTTGTGTTTCTGAAAAAATAATTTCAGAGAATTAGAAAATCGAATTGTATTATAACTTGGAAAAAAAAATCTATTGACGATGTGTAAAGAGCCCAACCTAACGAAGTATGTTGGAAAGTCTAAGAAGGTCGGAATAAAGTACCTAATTATTTACCTTTTTCTTTGATAGTGTAAATATTTCTCTATCACAAAGCGGAACCTTAATAAAAACTGAGCGTGGTGCCATTGTGTATCCATGTGGGTGGGACGATTAAGATACTATCAAATGTTTTGGGGCGGTCTCCTTTGATCCCGCCATGTCGCATGACGTCACTGCTCATTTGTCTCTAATTAAATTCTGTTCATAAGCCACAGACAAGCTCAGGCGTCTGAAGAGAGATAAACGACGATAACTTTTATTTATTAATAATCTTCGACTTAGTGTAAAAATAACTCTAGACTGTATTATTACGATGTAGAGTTGTATATCGAACATCGGTCATTCGAAGTTCTTTAGCTTGCGTGAATTATTGATAGGTCAGCGCTACTGCAGTTGTAGCTTTTACTTATTGATTAATTCTGTATTTAAACCTATTTGCTTGGACTGAGTACTAAGTAACGCATAGATAGGTATTAACAATATCAGTGAATTTTGAAAATACGTTGATTTTGGTGAAAGCAAAGACAGCAAAAGCATAAGCTTTGCATGGATTACCCATGCAAAGCTTATGCTTTTGCTGTCTTTGCTTTCACTTGCTTTTTTAAAGAAAGAAGGAAAGAAACATATTTTATTTGATTCAAACACAGTTTAACAGAATAACAGATAATAACAAAAAAAATTCAACCAAAATGGCACCTACTACTCAGCACATTTTAGTTAATAGGTACCTCTATGATTTGGGTAAAACAAAAAAACAAGTATTTTTTTCAGGAATCAAGTCTCCTTTGGCCGATTGGCCGTGTGCAGTGGCGAAAATATTTTATTCAGGGATTACGTAAGCATTGATGTCATTAGGCATCGGTACATGACTTGGAAATTTACCAATCAGCCGCTTGAATAATAAAACGCGAGTTCTAAAATCGTAGGTAATATCGATCAGTACCAACTACCACGTAAACAATGCAGCTAGGTTGTCACTCCAATTGAATATAGAGTATCGATTGGTCAGTAGATAGGGTTGCCAGGTCAAAAACACAAAAGCCGGACTCTGTGATTCATTTGGCTGGACATTTTACCCTAAAAGCCGGACATGTGACGGGGTCATAGCCTCACGAGTGACTACAATCATCATCGGTTGCCCAACACATCCTGATGCGCTTCATATTATTCTGTGGCTCGATTTTCGCCTGGCGCGGCAAGGACCGGCCAAAAGCCGGTCAGGCCGGACAAGACAATATTTGGCCGGACAAGAGCGTAAAAAGCCAAACATGTCCGGCTAAAGCCGGACACCTGGCAACCCTAACAGTAGAGGTACTAGAATCGATTGCGTGAATAATAAAATTGAAAGGTGAGCGCCGCTGCAGTACTTAGTGGGTAATATCGATCAAGTAATGCAGCTAACAACAAGTATGTAGATTGACGACTCAATTTAACTCAAGTCGAAAGCTGGACTATTGTATTGCATTTCATTGAATATTTGATAAAAAAAAAAATCACGGCTTTAATAGCGAAAATAAGCTTTTTACCCGACTGCGCCAGAAGGAGGGTTATATTTTTAATTTGCGAAAAATTTACAGGAATAATTAAGCCCCATTAGAAAATTTCCGGTAAGCGCAGCAGCAGCAATCGTTAAGACGTTTACAAGGTGGACCGAAGACCTTATAAAGGTAGCGGGAAGGCACTGGATGCAGGCCGCCACCAACCGACTATTCTAGAAATCATTGGGGGAGGCCTATGTTCAGCAGTGGACGTCCTGTGGCTGAAATGATGATGATGATTAGAAACTTTTATCAACTTTCGTGAAAACTGCTTCAAGTTTCAAGTGTTTTGNATGTTTTGGACTTTGCCTAAGTTGCTAAAATAGTAGTTCCATACTTCGGCTGCTAATACCGGAAAGAGGCGTAGGTTTATCGTACACTTTAACAAGCAATTGTAGGGAAAATTTACATTAGGACGTGTAGTACAAGCCTACACAGAAAATAAAAGATTTTCGACGTGGGCCGGTTATGATGCGGCGCACTTAAGGTTCGGCCAAACCAACGCGATCATACGCGATCAGCCGGCGTGCAGCGATGGCGACCAGACTTAAGGTTCAGTCAAACCACGACCAGACAACGTGTATGAATTTGTAGCGATGAGTTCCCATCAAAGCGTCCTGTCATTGGTCGCGGCGATCTATGCAGCGTCTGCACGCAGCGATCAGCGATCATCGCGTGTGATCGCGTTGGTTTGGCCGAACCTTTAGCGCAGACTGCAGACCCGATAACAACCGGCCCACTAACTGGGGATATGCGCGAGATTCAGGACTAAGAGCTGCCTCCATTCACTAGATTGTTCATTCAAGCTTTCTACGCTCAAAGATTATGAAGGTGTGAGGTTGTCTTTGGTGTTTACTTAAGTTTTAAGTAATGTGTAGCATAAAATATATACCTATAAAAAAAAACTATAAACCGATTTTCGCTTTATTATTCATAGACACTTAAAAGTAGCGCGACGAACGCGCGATTCTTTTTTCAGTGCTTGATTGGAAGATCACCGTTATCTAGACGTTAACTTATTTTGACATTAAAACTTTGTTTCTGTAGCACTTTTTTATTATTATTTTGTTATTAAGTTCGAAAGGGGTGGCAAGTAGAGCTAGATCCCATGCCTATAACTATCATCATCATTTCAACCACAGATCGATAGTTTTTTTTTGCAGAACAAGGCAGGATTTGACCGTAATCGCACCTGATGAGGTAAGATGCTGTCTAGGATGGTACATTTGTCGGCCCAGTAAGTGTTTATTCACTCTCGCCTTGAAAAGGCCCAGATTATAGTGTTCGGGTTAATTGTGGGCAGGCCTACTAGGTGGACCGACGCTCTGTTAAAGGTCGCGGGAAGAACCTGGATGCGGGCAGCGCAGGACCGTCCAGTATGGAAAGCCTTGGGGGAGGGAGGCCTTTGTCCAGCTGTGGACGACATTTGGCTGAAACGAACTGTTAGGGATATATTAAGTCCGCTACAGAGCAATAAACACAGTGGTTGGTAGTAACATTATAAATATATTGGTATCAAAGCACACGTAGAATATTTACAATAGAGAGTTCGGCACAGCCATTACACAGCTAAAAACAACATCACATTTGAATATAAATGACAGTTCTATCATAGCGGTTCCAGCTAGCCAGCTCTACGTTATACAGCATGAAGGTGCTCATCAACACGAACGAACGATAATGTTCGGGAAAGATTTGTTAAATGATGTGTGTAGGTATTATCCTAATCTACCTTCGTGTTTACTCTATGCGCGGGGTGAGGACGCGGGTCGGGGGCACCTGCGCGCGCGCCGCGTGGGCGGCTTTCGACGCGTCTGCTCGC